GAGCAGAGGCGATGGATGAAATCAGCCCTCCGCACCCGCCGTTGGGTGGGTGTCCCCAGGGAGGTCGCTTGTGTCCCTCGGTGGTGGGTGACACGCAGACAGCTCCTGATGCTGCTTCGGAGCATCGGGAGTGAGGAGTGTGAAGTGCGGCGCGTGACCGGGTCCGTATGTGCACGGCGTAGTGGGAAACGCGGATCCATAGGTGCCGGTTGCACCTCTCACGCTGGTTCCTATGGATCAGAAGAGCTCTGGTGCCTCGCAAGAGCATGGGAGGTGATCCACGTCGTGCCTCGCCTCTGATGTAAAGGTTGATGATGACACATGGTGATTTATGGAAAAAACTCAGAGCTTCTCAGTACTGAAGCTTGGAAACAGCTGTTCTCCTGCTTGATGGGTTCAAAGAGATGTTCGGTGGCTGCCAGACCGCTTAGTCAGTTGTGCCCTTATCACTGCATCGTCTGCTCTCTTTCACCTGCTTCTGTCTCCCTTTCTGTCTTTCCTAGCCATCTATGTTCTCCCTTGAGCTCATATCTGAACTTTTTGACTTTTCTGGACTTTTTTTTGTGGTTGTGTTTTAATGATGGGTTATACTATGCTATTCCATATGGAAGGAGGGCCAGGGTAGTCCTATAATTTTTGGCACTACTGTAGCAAACGGAGACTTGGAATACCAGTCATACAAGTATGAAATACCATTATGGTATGTAATGTGTTGGAAATTTCTGTCATTCCAGTTAAGGATCTGTAGATTCAAAGATTTGCCCCTTTTTCTTTGTTACTGAAAGTTACTTTCCTGTTGTTCATCACAAGTAATGTTCCTATGTAAGTGAATCCAGAAATGTTTATTCTCGTCATGGGACTGGCTTTTTCAGATGTGTTTTCAGTATCTTAGTTAAGGTAGAGGGGGGAAAAAAACCCACCAGAGGCTCAGTTCAGGAGTACTTTAAGAAGCTTTGCAGTTAAGTTTATTAATGGGCAAATAGTATTTGCTTTTTACTTAGATTGTGATTGCTACTTTTAGTTTCGGTTCAGGGAAAGTGAAAGCGGACCTCATAGGGCTAAAGCAACTAGGACTGACGTGCTTTTCCTTGGTGGTATACTCCCATCTTAAAAATCCTGCTCTGCTAAAAGCCTCTTGATCCTTGTGTGTGACTTTTGAAAAGTCCTTTCTCTCTCTGTCTTTTGTGTGTGTGTGCTGCGTCTTGCATAGATGGAACATCTCTGGTGGTTCAGTTCTTCTGAAGTTTTTATGGAAAAGGATAATTTGTCTTGGCTGAGCAGATAGTTGAACTTCTTTCCAAAGCTACCAGAATGGTCAGCCAGAATGATAGATGGCCCATTTGGAGCTGTATTAATAATGAGGTGTCTTACACTTATCTTTTATAAGTTGTTTTAAATCTGCAAAGGCCAAGTTGGAAGAGAAATGACATTTTAAAATATTCAGAGACATCTAAGATTTCTTCTCAGAGAATGCCTCTGCAGAAATCCCAGAACGTTTCAGTTGTCATCTAATTATGACTGACAAGGTTAGCAGGTTCAGGGAAGCCCAGGAAACCTAATTTTTCCCTGGAGCAAAGTAACTCCCTGTTTTTGTGTCAGCTAGCTTACTGCCTACTTTATGGCTTTTCTGTATTTACTTTGCTGTCAGCACCTTCAAGGAACAGAGATTTCCATTTACGAGTTAATAAAAGTGAAAAACTTACATCAAATTCGATATTGTGTGAGTTACACATCTTGATTAAACTTCAAAAGGTATTTTACGTGCAAATAAAACGTAGAAGCGATCTTATGCCTTTGAGTCTGTGTGTTGCTGCAGTCTTGCAGACAAATTCCCAGTGTCCTTTCGTAGTCTCCGAAGCACTCCATGCATGGAAAGAAGAATGTGACAATTGTATCACCCGAAGAGATCGTACACTGACATTATTGCATGAGAATTGCATTAATGTCTACAGTGGAATTTTTTTGAAACAACTTTTTAATGCAGGGGGAGTGTTAACGTTATTAACATTCATTCATTTGATTTTTCAAGGTTATTTTGCTACCTGTCCAATGCTTGTGCTCAGTGCTCGTTTTCTGAATGGAGTTGCTCTTGAGTGATATGATTTGATGTCTATGGATCATTCCATTTGCATGAGTTAACATCCAGTGTTATGCAACAGCTCTGTAATACCTTGCTTTTCTGTTGTCAAGATGACACTTCCTAATGCAATTGAGTTGTAGCAACTGTAATTTTTGTTTTGGGAGGGGAAGAAAATTGCAGCAGAGAGAAGGGCTGTTTTCTTAGCCTGGTTTCCTAAAGCAATAGGGGTAAAGCAGCTCAGATCTATATGTATCCATTGGTCCTTCTCCCTCAATAGTTTTTGAATCCATTTATGGCTATTAATTACATTTGACAGTGGGCTGCCTCTTGCATGCAGTTGGCAGACTGAGCAAAGATGGGTTGGAGCTGTACAAGGGGATGGCGATACGGAAGTGTATGGCAAAAGGGTATGAAGCACTTAGGAGGTACCAGGAAATATTTCAGTGGGAGTGTGTGATGAATTAAAGACGTTGTGAGACACTGAGGGAGGGTGGGGGGGAACTGAGGGTGCAGGATATAAATCACAGAAAAGCAAGATTCTGTAGATTTACTGCTCTTGTTCTTAGTAGTGATATAAATTAAATCGGAACAGATTTTTATGTAAAGATAGTTTTGACTGATTTCTTTTGCTGGAAAAGAGATGGACCTCTGGTTTACTGCCTTCCAAAAGACAGTGTTATCATATTTGTTCTTTCTTCCCGGGAGAGCACCCTGTGCTTCAGCAGAAGAGCTTTTATTTTTTTTAGTTCAGTTCAGTTTGCAGCTGCTCACAAGAATGCCAGAAGCGAGAATGATTTGTCCTGTACGTACTGAAATAGCATGCTCAGAAGTATTTCAGAGTTGCATTCATAACTCAGCGTTCTCTCAAACACAGCAAATTTGTTGTATCTCTGCATCTGACTGCAGCAGAGAGTAGAGCACACCTGTGCTAGCATTAAGCTAGCTGTCATGGTTTGAAAAGTAGCCATCAGTCTGGAGCTCAGCCCAGCCTGTCAAACCAATGTGGGAAACTCGTGTTGGTACAGTGAGCCTGCTGGGAGCTGGAGACTGCTGTGGGCCCTGAGAAACCCTGTCCACAGCAGCTCCGGTGTGTTCGTGCTGTCCTGTGCTTGCTGTGGTGTGCAGTCATGGACAGGGGTTTGGGCTGAATTTGAGTCAGTGATCAGTCTCGACATAAAGACATCCTCCTGTTAGGTCCCCTGGGCTAGCTGTTTTCTTTGATGTGTTACACTTTCCAGTCTGCTGTTGCAATTGCAACTAGACATAATGTCAAACTTTGTAATTTCAAGTATTAATGTGCATGCCAAGATTGTTTAAAGTCGTTTTGGCTGCTCTGCTTATCAGGGCTAAGCTGGTGCCAACATTGACAGGCAGTATTTGCTGCCTCTCCTTACCAAAATTGGCTTGTATGAGTTCTGTCATCTTTGTTGTATTTGTGTGTAAGTATATGTAGCTTCCCTTTTAGATTGGTTTACAGATGTGGTCGGAAAGCACTTACATTGTTTCAGATACACTGACTTGCTTCCCATTAGCAGCCTGGTGTGTGAATAATGGTCATAATAACCCTAATAATACTTTGCAAATTGAGTGTTGCTTTTCTTGCAATAGATCTTTAAAGATCTTTTCTTTGAGATATAGTTTCATTTCTACACCAATCATTCCTGTAATACTTTTTGTTTTGGCCTTCTCCCTTCTATGATTCATGGACACAAAATTCACGTTCAAGGAAGCCTTATGTCTTAGGCTTCTGTAGTTAATGAACATAACTATTTCAAACTATTTAATGTGTATAAACGTGACATTCTATGATGATAAAGATCAGTAAATATTTAGGAGCCTGAAAAGTTCATAGTTTATAAAATTAGCGCTGTGAGCTGAAGCTGAATGCCATTCAGCTAGGTAAGGCAAGCCCATAAGGTCTAGTTACGAGCCATTATTTACTTGTTATTCCTTATTTATACTGAACAATTACGTGGATACCCCTTGGGAAGGATTGAGCCTTTATGTGCATCTGACTTTGCTTTTGTATATGAATTTTAAATATCTTTTGTGACGTCTTATTATTTTTTCAATCACTGATCTTTTTTATTAGTTCTGCTGGTGTGCCACATATCTTATTTATACTCAGAAGAGTCAAACACAAACATGCTTGGTATCTAGCTGCCATTTCCCTGTCATTCCTGAGCTTAACGATTGATTTCCATATAGGAAATGAGCTGCTCATAAAGTCTTAACTGATGACATTTGGAAAAACTTTTCAATTCTGTAGTTCCTCACATCCTTTTCTAGCCATTGCTTCCCCATCTCCTTTCATCCTTCTCCTTCCAAGAGCATTGATCTGTGAGGACCACCAATGCTTCAGGAACTACTCGTGCAGAAGATGTTTGTACTAGTGTAAGAAGCAACACTTGTGGCAGTCGTCACTGTCAGAGTTTGGGAGCAGGGACAGGTGTTCTCCTGCCTCTCTCACTTCATTGCGCTATGACCTTGGCTATATCTTAAATTACCTTCTTGGCTGACTACGTAAGCAGAATATCGGCTTAATGTTTATACAGCACTGTGAACACGAACGGAGTTACAAACATTGAATCCTTGTAGGAAAATAGGAATGCTAGGTTTGCCTAGTGCCAGCAGTCGCCCAGATGCCATAACCTCCACAGTGCTTCATACCCACTGACTTGCACAGAGCTTGCCGTTACTGCGAGCGTCTCCACCAATTCACAGGACCCTTGTGTTTGCGTCCCTGTGTTTGTAAAGATGAGGCATAACTGAACCTGCTTTGCCTGTGTACCAAATAAGTCATGGAATTAAAAAATTGTGAGGAAGGAGCGTGATCTGATATCCTTTCTGTTCATTTATGTAGATCTTAGTGATTTTAAGTATTATTCATATGTCTGAGGAGCGAAAGTGATATAGAAGTATGGGAATATACAGCAACAGCTTAAATTTTGAGTTGTTAGAGCAAGTAGGAATGATTGAGCGTCATACTGGGAGCTTGCGTACGCGTACCAGTCCTGCAAAGATTTAAGGGTATGCTCAACTTCAGTAGGCATATTCACAGCCTATCCATAGTGTTTAAAATTAGTCATATTAAATGTTTGCAGGATGAGTGTTTTAGCAGCATGGAAAAGAGTGACTGATGAGGTTTGCTGTGAAGAATTTTCTCCTATTTCGAGTAGATGATATTTCTTCATGAAAAGGACCTGTGCTTTTGTCTTTATTACTCTTTGTAAAGATGTCTCCAAAAAACTTATCACAGCATGACCATAATCCTATTAATAGGAAATATATAGTTATTCAGTAGCTTGTATTAAATATATTTTTCTCTTTTTTTTTTTTTTTTTTTTGTAATTTGCCAGAGCTAATTTACAGGAGATGTATAGGATAAGGATGTATTTTGGTCATGGGATCTCATTCTTTTAATGCTGACCAAATGTCCTGTGCCTCTCTTTACAGCTTCCAGCTACAGTTTTATTCTGAGCATTAGTGAAGAGGAAGCCAGGGTGAAGGCTTTGAACGAGTACCTGAGCACTCGTAGTTATATCCAGGGGTTCACATTTTCACATGCAGATGTGGAGGTATTCAGAAAGTTTTCGGGACCACCTGTGGACCAGTATATCCATGTTGTCCGGTGGTACAGACACATAGAAGCAATCTATGATGGCAGCAGTGAAAAAAATGAGCCTTGTAAACTTCAAACAAGTGAGTAATATGAAACTGGTGGGCAGGTTACAAACTAGCGGACGTTGTCTTGGTTTTTATTGCCGAGAATTCCTAGAAGTCCCCTTTCATGCTCTCTTGCACACTTTAAAATTTACCGTATCGACTTATATTCAAGGTCATGAAATTCTTCCGTATGGTTACTGTGTAATTGATAGACCCTGACCTACTTGAATGTTAAAGCTCTGTTTCCACATTTCTTTGATTTTAAAATTCCTCAGTGTACAGAATTCGATTATGTGTATATTCTTTACAAAGCTGGATTGTAAAAGTTTGGGGGTTTGGCTTGTTCCCTAAAATATCAGGATTTGCTTAGTCCACTTTGTTTTCCCTGCAAGGCTAACTAAATAGTTGTATAATATACAAATTCATAATAAAGTGAATTATGAATTCTCTTACAATTGTTATTAACGCTGAATTTCAAAAAGAATGTTTGGAGTTCTTTTTTAACCCTGGTAACTTAGGCATTGCTGATGATCTGAGGAAATACTAACCGGTTAATCTAGGTCATTGTGTAAGCATGGGTGCTGGCATTTTTGGGAGCTGCATCACTGTCCAAAGTTGTTTTCCAATGAGCAAGTCTAATTCAATTGCTTTATAGCGAGGTCCTTGCTCAGGGAGTCACGAAATAATAACAGAGCTGTTGTATGGTGCTTGCAATACCTATAAATGAAGGCATAGTGTCTGTCATTTTTGCTGGTGGTTGTTGACTAATATTACTCCACTGCCACCTTTTCACAACATCTCGTCATGTGTGTTCTCAGTTCCTAGCAGAGCAGCAGTTAAAATCAGACTGCTGCGAGTGGATTCTGTACATGTGTGTGTGCCTGCATGCGTTTGTGCTGGTTACTGATTTCCTTTCAGCAGCGAAGGGACCTTGGCTGTACTGCTGGCTCTGATAGCAAATTTAATGCCACTAACTACAATTTATCTGCAGAATTTCATGGATCAGGGTGGAGCAATAGGAGAAAAAATTTATGTTTTCCTGTCCATGAAATCTCTGATGTTAAGTCTCTCTTTCTGAAGGGTTATGTCTCGTCATCTTCACGATCTATCCATATGTATCGAAAGTCCTGAAATGGTGTTCTGCAGTGTTCACTATGAAAATGGCACATGAATCTGCCACACTTCTTGGACCTTGGATATTTTATCAGTGTTTTTTTGAGCGTATCAGAGAGCTCCAGGAGCTGATTAGAGCAAATGAACTTGAGTTCAACCAGGGGGAAGACTATAGCTGGCAGAGATATATTTAAACAGACTAAACAGTATGCCTTTTACTTTGCCCTCAGTGTCCATGTGGTGGGTATAATGTGACACCTAACTTGGAAGCTAAGAACTTTAGGGTGCCGTATCTGGGATTTTTCTTATGTTTAGTGTGGTTGTAAGTAAAGAAAGCTTTACAGATTTATCTTTTATTAGACTAACCCACATAGACTTCCTTCCCCGAGGGAAACATTAGCTGCAATTAAGCATACCAGCATAATCTTTGTAAATCAAAGAGTAAACAAATCCATACCTTGGTATATGGTCTGTGTTATGGACAGACTGCTCTTGAACTTGAGGTATTCTGTACATACCTGAAATGTTTAGAATAAACACGTATTTCCGTGGATCCTTAGCATGGAGATTAAATGGAGTCCATTCATGAGACAGAGTACTACAGTTAATATCTTCTTTTCTTATTTAGGCAGTTTTTCAAAAAAGGAAGATGAGGAAGAGATTAGATTTTTTATACCATGAATGTTTACATTACTTGAAGGTTTTCAGCCAAAATATTCATATGAATATGTCAGGGAAACAGAGTTAACGAAGAGAACTCAGACACAGGATCAGAAAAGCAATTTTGTTGTCAAAACAGTTTGTATAATAATTTAATTGCATACCCTGAGAATTCCTAAGGATAGTGCTGTGCCTATTAACCTGGCAACTTTGCTGTATTTTTGAATTTCCTGGTTTGCTTTCATTGCTAGTTAATGCAATAATTAGTTTAACATCGTTACAGCCGTAAGCAGCCCTGTGCGTAGCAAATTGCATCTCTTCAACAGATGACATACTTTTGTTTGAAAAAACCATGAGTTTAACAATTGTGCTGCTTCTTAAAAATTGTAAAGAAAATAAGTGCAAGAACATTGTCACTAATATTAGCCTGGGTTTTGCCTACTCTCTTTAATGCAAAATTTAGCCTCTTGCTGAGTTGGAGCATATTTGTGGTAAATGAGTGTGTTCAAAAATGCTGTGTGTACATAGCAACAATGTATGATAAAAAGCTGAGGTTCTTTCTAAACCTTTCTGTCTCCCCTCCCTCTCACCCAGAGTACACATACTCTGTCAATATTGGCTCTAGAGACGAACTCAGTTCTCTGGAGATGTTTTTGCAAATTCTATATGAGATCCGTGATGTGCCCTCCCAGTGAAATCAGTGGCATTGCAGAAAGCCTAGGACTGCCATAACACTATTAATAATTCATTAAATTTCAAAGCTCTTGTTAGTGCTTTACCTGAATTGCATGCTCTCACTTTTATACTGTCTTCCTTCCTGTTACTTGGATCAAAAGTTAATAGGAATGGCAAGTCAGAGAGTAGAAAGTAAACTAAATTGAAATAATTTACTTTGGTTTTAGTGGCTTTGTAGGAGGCTCTAACAAAAGTAGTGGGATTTCTAGGATTGGAGCTGCTTTGTCTAATTATGTATGGGGCAGGGTGGTATCTTTTCAAATAACTTAATGATGTGATAAGGAGAAAATGTTGCACTGCAAATCTGTTTGTGGAAAGTGCCTTTTCAGTTCTCTCCAAACCATTTTTTCCCCTAGGTAAAGGCAAGCGTGTGCAGCCCTCCTGGTCTCCTCCCGAAGGAACAAAACATTCTACGCTCTGTCTCTACAACAGCCTGACTCGCAATAAGGTGACTAAACGAAAGAAAAGTGGAGATTTCCATAGAAACACAAATAGAGAAGTCATCAAATGTTTGTTTCTTAAGTGTTTACTCTATGAATAGACTGGTTTCTGGGTTGTATTTTGTGGAAGGTTATCAAGCACGTGCCAGAGATGCTGTGTCGAGTGTGTTTGCTGAAGCAACTGTTATAATACACACAGTAAATATACACGTACTTCACATGTGTGTATGTATGTGTATTTTGTGTAATAGATAGTTCACAGTTGCAGGTTATCATGCAATGTAGCCAGGGGTTCAGCTGTAGCACACAGAAGTGTAGGCAATGTGGATAAATCACACAGTTTCTTTCTTTAGATGTTGTCTGCGTAAAAAAAGTCTTGCCAATTATATTATTGTAATATAAACTGGTAAAACTTCTTGTGGCCTTGTTTGAAAGTCCTTTGGGAAAGGGAGGAAACCTTAAGAATACTGATGTTGTATGGGATATAGTATCCAAGTGTATGTGAAATGATTATGCTCTGTAACCTTTTTCAATGCAAAAGAAAACCTGATCTTCCCTTTTACGAATGCAGGTTGAACCATGCCCTGCCTAGTGCAAATCTTTGTTATCTGATATCCTGATTGACAAGAGTGCAGAAAACATAAGCGGCCACACCTCATTATTTCTCTTACACAGTAAAGATAGTGGTGATCTTTTCTTTTGGTAAAACTGGGAGTGGAGTAACTGTTCCTTTTTTGTAATTGTAATCCATGTTGTCACATTCTAATCTCCAAATGTGGTGTTACTGGCCTGAGATCATGTCTTCAATTTCTTCTGATTACTGTACCTTCTCTTTCAATTAAGGAAGTATTTCAGCCTCAGAATGGAAAAAAGGTCTTGTGGTATTGCTGTGGTCCAACAGTTTATGATGCTTCTCACATGGGACATGCCAGGTACCGCAGTTCCTTATTTTCATATAGGCAATAGCAGTACCTATTGGAAGCAAAAGATTAGTAGAAAAAGGTACTTGGTTTCGGTGAATGGATTACTAGAAAATAGTCTTGTTAGACTCAATGCTTGGGGTTTAAGATTTAAAGCATATTACAATATGTCATTGTGTGATTAAAAATTTACTAGTAGATAAGGGAAAATTAAAACTGCTGTAGAACTATTGACTGTAAGATTAAAGTTAGTGCATCAAATAGACATAGGCTTGAGGTGTTCGCTAAAAACACCCCTATATCTTTTATGTTTTTAGGTCCTACATCTCATTTGATATCCTGAGAAGAGTCCTGAGAGATTATTTTAAATATGACGTTTTCTATTGTATGAATATTACGGATATTGATGATAAGGTAAGGTCTTTTTAAATTGGTATCTAAAACACTGTACTTTGAGCATGGAAGTCGGAATTATATGTAATTGTCATTTGATAAGCCAAGATAAACCTTACATTTACTTAGACATACATTTTGTGCACAAAGTCATCAATTCTTCTCAGTTTCGTAGCATTCCTATGGTAGCAAAGCCTATATAGTATATAAATGAGTGTCGTCACAAATAATGAAGAGTAAGCGTTTTACAAAGATAACTTATTTATTTGCCTGTTGTTGAGATAGCTAATTAACTATGTATGGTGTGTTTAATTTGTACTACTGCAGGTAATTGTAGCTTGTTAAATTTGTAAGGATTCTGAAAAACCTTTGGTACGTAATGGAGTTAGATTTTAGTTGCACTGTGACTACGTGTCGCTTTACAAAAATATTTTCATGTTTCTTCTTTGTAGATCATCAAGAGAGCAAGACAAAATCACCTTTTTGAACAATATAGAGAGAACAAATCAGCACCAGCTCAGCTGCTTGAAGATGTTAAAACTGCCTCAGAGGTGAGCATGGTATTTAGGTTCTTACCCAGTGATGTAGCGAAGCATCTAAAACATGGAGAAGAGGAGGCTGAGGGGAGACCTGATTACGGCCTACAAATATTTGAGAAGGGATGGTGGGGAGGTGGGGGAAGGGCTCTTTACGTTAGTGATGGGCGATAGGACAAGAGGAAATGGGTATAAGCTTAGTCAGGGGAGGTTCAGGTTGGATGTTAGAAAGTATTTCTTCTCTGAAAGGGTTGTCAGCCGCTGAAATAGGCTGCCCAGGGAGGTGGTTGAGTCCCCATCCCTGGATGTGTTTAAGAAAAGGCTGGATGAACTACTTAGCGATATGGTTTAATGGGAGATTAGGGATGGTTGGACTGGATGATTTCTCTAACTTAGAAATCTATGAAATCTATGAATCTATGCTTCTGACTTTGCTGCTTCCTTAAACTTTCTGCTTGTTTCACTTATTTGACTGAACTGGTACCTCACAAATTAGAAATGTTGTTGGAACTGGACATGACTTTGATTTTCTATTGGTTTAGAATTGGTAAGAACTAGCCATGTAAAAGGCATGCCTGACTTTTATGTCCATAGAACTTGTTGGTGGGGAAAAAGCTCAAAAAACATTTGGATGTTTGTGCGTTAGAATTCAAACTTTAAAAATAACCCTTTAAAATAGTTTTTTAAAGAGTGGTATGTCCATAAACTTTTAAAGCTCATGAAATTTCTTCTGACATTTTCTTATGGTTTTCTTATGAGATTTTGTACTATTGGTGGACTTGGAAAAAGCAAAAAGTCTCCAAAGCTTTAGGGATTTAATAAATTGTGTATACGGGATGGAAGGTGGGGGAAGGTGATTCTCTGGTCATTTTTCGAACTACAGATCACAAAGAGGTTATCAGTCTAATGAATTGAATACAGGCCTGGGCATAGGAGGCCTGGAAATTTTGCCTAACTATCATTGCCTGACATGCTCTCTAAGCATAGCATTTAATCTCTCTATGTTTCACCTTAAAGCTTATCATTTTCAGATTTGTGATAATCAACTGTGTAATTAAGGTGCATAGAAAATGAAATTTACTGAACAACAGTAATGATGATGTAGTAATTTATAGAATCTTTCTGAAAAACTGAATTCAGATGTGAACTAAGTTCTTTTCACTTTTATTTCTTCTGAGGAGTATGTGTCAGTAGTTTGATATCAAAGCTTTTTATGTGGCATAATGTATTATTCATCACCAGCGAGGTACTATGTGGCTAAGATAATATATTGCGTATGGAGCATAGCACTACTGCACTGGAAGTTGCTTTCTAATTTATTTTTTTTTAATTGTAGCTCTTTTCAGTTAAATTAAATGAGACAACAGACCCAGATAAAAAGCAAATGTTGGAAAGAATTCAAAATGCTGTGAAGTCTGCTTTTGACCCTCTACAAGAAGCTGTGCAAATGAAGCTCCCTGCAGAAGAGATCAACAGATGTCATGAGGTCAGTTTGAGGTCCTTTTTAAATTATATTTGACTTATATTTGTTAGAGGTTTTAAAGATAATCTTTAGTTTGTGTAATTCCCTGAAACACTGTGGAAATTTGTATTCATAAAAAGAGGAATGGTGGGCCTGAGGACTTTTTAGTACTTTGCATTCAATGTAAGACATTTGATCCTTGAATTCAACTATATCGGCTCTGGATGCCGTTTTTCTCAATGACTTTTTTTTTTACCCCCACCCCATGATAATTACTCAGTCATTTTTAGCTTTCCAGCAGGATTTTTCTCTTGCGTATATTTAGACTTTCTCTTTGGCTTTTTTGTCTTGATGAATTAGTTTCAGTATAAATTACTGAACACGCATTTATGACATTCCAGTATCAGTGGCAGTTTTCTACACAAGTGTTTCTGTCTCTGATCACAGAAGAAAATACGTTCCAAAAAATTATGCTCAGGATAATTTTTACTCAAAGACCATTGATAGTGACAATAATCCTGTTGACTTTATTGGACTTCGGTACTGTCCTCGTAACCAAGTCAGGCAATATAACTGCTGTCTTTTAGTAATTGGTTTCCACTTTCATCTTTTCTTGCTTTCTGATTAGTTGTGATAATTACTGTAGGAAGCATAGAGTATGTGCTCCCTTCTTCAGAAGAATCTCTCTAAATTACTTTTTTTAAAAAAGAAGTCCAGCTATTCTAATACCAGGTGTCTATATAAAAGTGTATACTGACCTAACAGAATTTTAAAAACAACTAAATTCTAAGCAATCATACCTTCAGGGCTATATCCTATTATTAAAAAATGTCATCTTTTCATATAAGACTGAAATATGTCCTTGCTGATGTTCAGATTAGTCTTTCAAACACTTTCTAGCAATGTGCACAGTAAGGCTTCTGTTAGGATTATCCATTTGTAATGGGGGAGGAATAGATGATGTGATAGAACTGCAGGTCCCATCCGTTGTTGACAGTGTAAATTCCACATGCCTGTTTAAGCGATTTTTATCAAAAAAGATGTCACTTTTCAATTTATCTTCCTTCCTCTGTTTGTTTCATCCATATTCATGAAGGGCAATATTATAAAAATCTGGTAGAAGCATGGATTACTCTGTATTCATAGCCACATGTCTTCTTCCTTAAACAAACCTCTCTGTTCAGAATAAGGCCTTTCTGCCGACTGTAAACAGGGCAAGTCTTTGATCAGTTGCACTTACAATTACTGTTTTATAGGTGCTGTTGGAAGAAGCCAAAGATTTGCTGTCTGACTGGTTGGACACAAAATTTGGCAGTCAGGTGACTGACAATTCCATATTCTCAAAGCTCCCCAAATTCTGGGAGGGGGAATTTCATAGAGATATGGAAGCGCTCAATGTAAGTAAACAAACTGTTTCCTGTTTTAAAGGTGTCTGTGCCATGCCTCATAATATCCAGAATACAATTTAACTTCTTAACAGCTATCAAAAAACCTCATATTTCAGCCTTATTGATAAAGTTTTTCCTGTAATACGAATAGGTAGCTGTTAAATCAGCACCTGTTCTGTTTTCATCCCAACAATCTTAAATCCATTGTGCATGTTACCAGGGACAGTTAACCAGTGATCAGGTTTGATGTGTGCACTCCATCCCTTCCACCTGGTGTAGCTTGGGCTTATAGCCATAAACTGATCTGGAAGTTTGAGGTAGAACCTGTTAGCTGCACAGGAGAGCCCTGCCAACCTCAGCATTTAAACTGACTACTTACCAGTCTTCAGCCACTAAGAAATTATGTGATAGTAACGATCGAGGACAGATTTGTCTCTTACAGATGAAATGCCATGTCATATGCCATGGTTCAGATCAGTGAAGGTTTGTTTATTTACCTGCAAATCAGGTGGACTTATTGCCTGTTCTGTCAAAAGTGCAATAAGTAGAAGAGCTGACATCTCCCAGTAGTTTGTTGTTAATGTCGCCTTAAAGGCTGAGGAAAAAATGACCACAGCACATTGTTTCAGAGCAGAAAGGTTGAAATAGGAGTCTTAGATTCTACTGTCGCTTGTTTTTGAGCTAATTTTTAACCAATGTACCATACATATATACACAGTGCATATTTGCATATGTATAAGTATTGCATATATATAAACATATATAAAATCCTACTTTTTATCTATAGGTTTTACCTCCAGATGTTTTAACACGGGTTAGCGAATATGTGCCAGAAGTTGTGGATTTTGTGAAAAAGATTGTGAATAATGGTTATGGGTAAGTTTGCTACTGGATGCTGAACCTGTGGTTCTCTGGCATGTTCTTCCTTTAAACCTACATTTTAAAATTTTATTAAAAAGAAAAAAAAAGGGCGACAGTTCAAAATTGAACTGAATTTGCACTGAATTATCAGCATTCCCAGTGGTCCTGAAACTTACCTTTGTGTCAGAGGTTTTATTATGGCTGTAGTGGGACAAAATTAGCAAAGTGAAGGACAAAATGGACTGAAACAAACCAGATTTGTTTAACATTGTTGCAAAATATGAAAAGAGACCAGCTCTTGGGACTGTTATCTGATGTGTCACCTCTTAAGAGCGTAACAAAACATGTTAGTTGTTTTCCCTTTGATCGATTTTATTTATGACTTTCAATGATTTGTCTGAAGTCTTTACGGTAAGGCCTCAGAACTTAGGCTCACCTAAGTCATCTTTACAATATTGAGCAGTACCATACTGTATGTGGTTTCACTAGAAAACTTGAGTTTAAGACAGTGATTTTGGGGGATAAAATTCAGTTAGTCTTGGTAGAAAGTTAGCTAAATAATGTTTTTTAACTTTTCAGGTATGTGTCCAATGGATCTGTATACTTTGATACTATGAAGTTTGATTCCAGTGAAAAACACTCCTATGCTAAGTTGGTTCCTGAAGCTGTAGGTGATCAAAAAGCTCTTCAAGAGGGTGAAGGTAAAAAGGGGAAGTAACATTTGCTTAAGTTGCTGAAGAAACTGATGATTTGTTGATCTCTTCAACTGATTTTCATTTGGATCACAGTTACTGTCAGAGCTGAATGGTTTACCTGCTGCGCTTCCTTTACCAATAGGTTTCTTTTCCAGAGTTTTGTAGCTTGAGCAGCACTTTCCTGGAAGTTTTTCATTGGAGAATTGTAAGAAATGTTATTCATTCTAGGATGTTTTGGGGGTGTTTGTTTGTTTGTTGTCAAAATTGTGAGTAGCTCAGTCATCTGACTATAGCCCAGCTATTTGGCTGTTCACCTAGTTCAGAGTAGGAGGAGCAAAGACCTGAAGCTGAGTCTTCCACATGCCAGGTTACAGCTCTCCACACCAGGTTATGATTATTTCATGACAAATATTTGGGTTCCTCTTTCATACTGAAAATTCTTTTTACTTGGTAAACCTTGTTGTGTTGGACTAAATCCAAATACAGATTTTTTGAGTTGAGCCATAGAAGAGGAGTAGCTTAAAATGCTCAATAAACCAGACCCATTTGTTATTTGCTCCTAAGGTTGTACAGTTTTAGTAGCAAATCATCCATGAAGTATCAGAAGAATATTAAAAGGTTTTTTTGTAACACTCATAGTAGGTGAAATTAGTGCACTCATAGGTGAAGCTAACAATTTCTGAGAGATGCAGCTTAAAATGGATATGATTTTTTTTTCTTCTTAATTTGAACCCTTATAGCTGAAATCTGCTATGTAAATGTGACATAAAAGGTGCCATCTTAAACCACCATCTTTGTGGTAATGTGGATGTATCATTTCCACCAGTCACTTTCGTTGATGCGTTCTGTCCTTTTGCAAGTAGGAACTGATGCTGAGTGATAAATGTCACTAACCAGTAGTATGCATGTGTTAAGTGATTGCTTGTGAGCTTAGCTGCTTTTACTCATTTGTGATGATTGTCCTTCCCCTGACAGATAATGTCATCTTGACTATTGCAGGCAGCAGAAATGCTAAGCTTTGAAAGTTGCAATTCATGTAAATAGAAGCATAATTCTTTTTATATTCAAAGTGCATAATGTTAGATATTAAAAAATATTGAGACTGCAGGTATCTCAACCTCTACATCAAAATTAGCTGATAAGTTTAACCTTCACAATTTTGTCCTTATTCTGTCTTGGATTCTTATGCGGAAGATGCTATTGTTAACCATGTTTAGTCGTGGACAAAACTGCAGAAATGGTAAATTCCCTGTGTTTTAAAGATGATATACTGAGAGTACCACCTAAATGATCAAAGGAGCTAACAGCAATTAATGCATAACACATCTGTGATGGTACCAAAATAAACATAGCTATTGAACAGCTACCAGCCGTTCTGTGCAGCAACTGAGATTAGAGGTGGAAGAAATATCCTAAGAGCATGTTGTGTGTGCAGATTGAGACAGTCCTAGCCTTAATTTTGATCCTTCTGACTTTGGAGTGAATTGATTCTGCAGTCTTACTTGTCTATGAGTACACAGTTTTTTGTTTCTGTATTTCTTTTTCTGTAACTGCGATATTGGAATTGTGCCTGCAGGGAGAACGTAGATGAATCTCATGTCAAAACTTAGAAAGCAGTGCAGCTGATACTTGTTGTCAGGTTTCCTGTCAACCAAACCTTATTCAAAACCCCAAAAGATTATCAGGGTTAATTACAAGGAATTTTAAGGGCTGAGTGTTGTTCTTTTCTTTTATTTATTTATTTATTTATTTATTTATTTATTTATTTATTTATTTATTTATTTAAATTAACTTGATGTGAGGTACAGCGAAGTAAAAAAAACAATAATGCTCGTATTTAAATAAAATATATATATTTACATCCTCTCTTTTGAAAGGTGACCTGAGCATCTCAGCTGATCGCTTAAGTGAGAAGCATTCTCCAAATGATTTTGCTTTGTGGAAATCCTCCAAGCCAGGAGAACCCTCATGGGACTCTCCGTGGGGAAAGGTAAGGACATTATAATCAGGATTTAGATGTTCTACACCTTATTAAATAGTGTGTTACACAGATACTTTGCCTGACCTCTATTAATAATGTATATTAATAATGTATAAATTATGGGGATCTTGTATTCAACAGCAGATTCTGTTGCTATGTTCATTTAATAATTTAGAATGTGTATCAATCTGTCTGCTTGACACTTTTTAAACAGAAGTCTGCATGCAGGCTCATGATGACTGTTAGTGGCATTTGTCCTCCATTTATCTACAGGCTTTATCTGCAGTAATTTCGGTATCTTTTTTTTCCCTTATGAGCAAAAATATTAATGTAATTTTAAAAAGAATAATAAGCAGCATAATCAAAGCATCACAGAGATATATGCCACGTTTGATCTTTAAATCCAACATTATACTTTTAGGAAGCTGAGAGTGAAAATCTTTTTTCTCAGTAACGCTCTTATCTCATTTCCTCCGGTGTGTAATTGCTTAGGGCAGACCAATGAGGGAATGATACATAGGCAGGAGAGGAAGACAAACAACTGGTAAAAAAGTAATGTCTTAACAGGGTCGTCCAGGTTGGCACATTGAATGTTCCGCGATGGCTGGATCCATTCTAGGAGAGTCGATGGATATTCATGGAGGAGGGTTTGATCTCCGATTTCCCCACCATGACAATGAACTGGCACAGTCTGAGGTGAATGAGCTGTCCTTCAGTTTCTGCAGTGAGAAACCAACATGCTTTACTTTGACTGCAGCTTAGACAAATCCATCAATTAATTTTTAAAACTTTATGTGTGATTTGTAGAAGCCTAACTTTTTGTTCTTGGGATTTTATTCTTAAATTATCCTACTGCATGGTATGTATCTAAACAGTGTTGGGTCTTTGGGGTTTTTTCTTTTTGCTGCAGGCATACTTTGAAAACGATCACTGGGTTCGGTATTTTCTGCATACTGGGCACTTAACAATTGCTGGCTGTAAAATGTCCAAATCTTTGAAGAATTTCATTACCATAAAAGATGCACTGAAGAAACATACAGGTAAAAATTACTTTGGAATTTGAATGCTTTTGATGTACTTTGAGTGGTGACTGTGGTAATTTTGTTATTCAGGCACCTAATGGAGTTTCCAAAAATGGCTAACTTCAGGTGTTTTTCTTCTTCACTAACTTTAGAACAGCTTCCTGTTCTTCTATTCCTTGTCGATATTATGTGCATGGATAATAGTGTTCTTGCTTTTTTGGTAGATGTATTGATAGTAAGAATATTAAAAATTGTTATGTTCCTAGCCACTGCAGTATTGGAGGCCATAAAAATGCTCTTGATTATCATTATTTTCTGTGTTTGTTTTGAAACTTCTAATAGCACGACAGTTACGGTTGGCTTTCCTCATGCACTCTTGGAAGGATACACTGGATTATTCAAATAATACCATGGAGTCAGCTATTCAGTATGAGAAGTTTATGAACGTACGTAAGCTTTCCCTTCCTCCTCCAGCTCTCTAAGCTTTGTGTTGTCATATGTGTTTCAAGGAATAGAACCCAAGGATAGGCCATGTCCACAGACTGATTCTGCCTTCTCAGTTCAGGAGGTGGGATGTACACAATGTACACTGTGGGATGTACAGAAGGAGGCTGTACGTAGTTTTGAGATTGTTGATCTTGGTCTCTTCAGCAGAAGTTATTCTGCTTTTTATGTAAAATGTTTGGTTTGGGCCACAGAATAAGTGAAAATGACTTTTCACCAAACTGGATGCCCACATAAAACAGGCCCTCGCTATAACGCCATTTTTTTTCTTCAGCTTCCATTGCTAGCAACACATTTAAAAATCTGCCATGAGAACTCTTGTCTGAACTTTTTTTAAGTGATTTTGTGTTTGAGCAGCTTGGTGTTAAGAGTATCATAGTTTATCATGCAGTGGCAAAGCCAAGAAATAGAACTGAATTACTGTCCAACTATGATTTAGAGAGTTAGGCAAAATGTGTGAGTTTCCTTGTTTTGACAGACAATCAGTAGATCCTGGCTGTTACCCAACAACAGCTAGGTTAAAGTTTTGTGTAACAGTTTCATGAAAGGTTCAGTGGCAGTAGGTGATTTACACATACCTAAAGAAACTAACAAGACGTCCATCCTTGAAGCTGTCAGCAGTGATTAAAACAGAGACTCTTTATCAAGAACTGTCTGCCCTTGGAGGGAACATCCCAGAAACTGCAGAAACTGCATAAACTTTGTTCTCATGTTTTTCTAAACTGTGAACATGCAGTGACTTGGGGGAAAATGTCATTCCGGCAGGGGGAGATCGCGACCACCGACTCACGGACCACCTACCCTAATTACAGCCCAGACCCAAAAGAAAGGGGCGGAGGAGGAAAACTGAGCATGCGAAGTAATTTACATGAAAAGCGAGAGAAAATTAACCAATTGTTTAAGAATATGTAAATATGTTATGAATTATGCATGACTGTAGTGTATAACTAATTTTCTGTCCAGAAGCCGGTGTGCACGCTAGGAGGAGAAATCCCCCGTGCACCCAGCGCTGCAATAAAGGATACCTGCTTTCTAAAACTCTAAAATGAGTCTTGGAAAGTTCAGTTTCCTTTTCAGGTATCATGGCTGAGACAGCGCTGAAACCATAAACTTTAGGAGGCAATTAAGAAATAATGTCTTTTTGTAGTAAACATTGGTTGTGTCTAATTTAAACTGATTTTTAGCTTTATTCTTCTTTTATAGGAGTTCTTTTTAAATGTGAAGGATATTCTTCGAGCTCCCACTGATGTGACAGGCCAGTTTCAGAAATGGGAAAATCAGGAAGCAGAGCTGAACAAAAAGTGAGTGGAGCATTCCTACTTCCTGTGAATAACCGTTGCATAGCTACATGTTTAGTTTTTTGGTTTTTTTTTAATTGCAAAATGACTTACTGTGTATGTAGTGATATTTATAAGTCTGCAGCATTTGCAATGAGTACCCCGACTCTGTACAAGTGAATTTAATCATGTAAAAGCTTTATCAAGTATAGATGAAGTTGTTAATTTCCTTTTTGTTTATGTTAAGTACACTGAACCGTTGCATAGCTACATGTTTAGTTTTTTGGTTTTTTTTTAATTGCAAAATGACTTACTGTGTATGTAGTGATATTTATAAGTCTGCAGCATTTGCAATGAGTACCCCGACTCTGTACAAGTGAATTTAATCATGTAAAAGCTTTATCAAGTATAGATGAAGTTGTTAATTTCCTTTTTGTTTATGTTAAGTACACTGGCGTGCCTCTTCACCCTGTTTGTGAATAATTTTTTTGTCATTTTCTTCACTACTTGAAATGCTGTCCTTCTGTCTGAGAAATAACTGATAATTCACAGCGGTTACAACTGGAAAAATAGTATTTTACACATTTGGAATTGCAGTGAGCAAATTGAGAAAACATAAGTTAAATGACCTGACTAAAAGCGCAAAAGATCATATGCCAATGTTTGAAAATGTGTTATTGAGAGAGACAGTGATATCGTGCAGTCTTTCACTTTTGTAACAAAACTATCATTATTGTTTGTAATACGACCAGCTTCCTATATGACTTCTATTATGACTGAAATTTAAAATAGAAGCATCTTATGTTACCAGTAATAAAGTTATTCCTAGTTCAGTTTACTGTTGTGGACGGAGATGTTGACTATTGAAGGACCAAGTGCAGATGCTTCTGTTTAGTGATGTCCTCTGAAAATTTCATCTTCAACTTGAGGTTCATAGAGATAACCCTTTTTTTTAAAAAGAGAGAAGATAGTAACAGAGAGGTCAAGAGAGAGGGACAAAGGAGTGAGAGGAACAGAAGATATGCTTCATGGATATTTGGTTTTGTCTCCTCTACCACTTCTCATTCTCTTTTCTCTGGAAAAAGTATGTTTGAAACAGTAGTACCCCCACCATTATGAAGTGGGGGTACTTAATATAGTGTAATACTTAGTCTGTGTATTCACAAGCATTACAAAAGTTTACTTGAATTTATTCCTTGTATCTTCTTGTAATAGCTTCTTAACACTTCATTTCGTGGTAAGTTAACTTCCAAATTGGTGCTCCATGCTGGAAAGATACTAAACAGAGTACTTGGCTGGTACACAGGGGTAGGAGAGCAATACTGCAAAAAAAAAAAATAGCAAGCACAAGAAGGTACTAATTTATACTGCTTTTAAAAACTGATATGAAAAGGTCAGTTGCTGAAAAAGTGTTAGATGTAATTTGTTTGAATAGTTGTTGCCAATTAGATTATCCTGCCTGCCTTTGTCCATAGTAGCAAAACAGCAGCATCGTGATAATTAATGCCTTTTCCTTACTCACCTGTTTTTCCTTCAAATATAAACTACAACCAGCAACAGATTATCTCACTTTTAGGTCCCCTTACTCTCCTATTCGAAGTTCTTCAGAGTAGGTTGCAGATACTTTTGATGTCAATAGTAAAAAAAAATTTTTTTCTTCTTAGTTTTTACGACAAGAAGGCAGCAATTCATGAAGCACTGTGTGACAATATTGACACTCGCTCTGTCTTAGAAGAGATGCGTTCGTTAGTCAGTCAGAGTAACTCCTATATTGCTGCAAAGAAATCTTCCAGACAAATGCCAAACAGACTTCTTTTAGAAAACATCAGTTCCTATCTCACTCAAATGCTGAAGGTATGTAATAGCAAGTAGTAACGTTGCTATTGCACTGTGCACTGGTAACTGTTGTATTTTTTTAAGTTTGTAGGGATCCACATAGTCTTTGTTTAAATCTTGTAGGAAACTAGAGATCTTCCACACATACCCCAACCAAAACAACCCCAAATTGCAGTGTTTGCTGCAGCAGGTACAATTTGGAGTCTTTTATGTTATGTTGTAATTTCAGATAATGTATTGTTGAATAGTGGAGAGTCCCTAATACATGCAAGGAAAATGAAACAGTAGAAAAAAGTGTGAAGTCAGAACGTCAAATCTGACAGCTTTAAAACTAAATCTGAAAGCTAATGCTTAGTATGCTGTATCAATTAAAAAACAAAACATCTTCTTATTAGAGCAGTGAATTGTGGGTTAAATGAGAACTAGGTAGCTTCAAAACGCTAGTACGTGTGATTTTGCTTAGTTTTCACATACCTGTGACTTGATGTATACAATCTTTTCTTTTCTTCTTTTTTTTTTCCCCCTTGACCAGATTTTTGGTGCCATAGAAAGTGATGACGCAATTGGTTTTCCTGTTGGAGGGAATAGTCAAAACATGAATGTAAGTGAAGGACAAAGTACACTATACAAAATTACTCTGTGTCCTTTGAAAGCTTAGGTTTGATAAAGTGATTACATTACTGATATGTAGCCAAATTACATTCTTTCTGCTTGTAATATTTGAGTCTGAAGTAATTAACTGGCTTAGGAAGCAGGATTTTTCTTTTATGACAGTTGGAGTTTTTTATAGGTCTGTTTGACTTAATGACAGACAAATTGTATAGCAACCAGAAAAAGAATTATCTTGTTTTCTGAATGATGAGTCTGTTTAAGAAACCACACGTTAACTACAGACAGTATATACTACAGTCTAAAGACCCATTACAAGTATTTGTACGTTAATTAGTTTCAAAAATATAATTACACTGATTAAACTTCCTTGTGGTACACCAAAAACCAGCCTGGAGGCAGCTGGAGTTCTATCCGCGTTTCAATCTCTTTTTCTGATCTCATTTGTAGCCACAGTTTTTATCTGGCTTTTGAAGGCTGTTTTGCTTTGGTCACCCAGCAGTTCCACTGTGATGCAGAATTTTTCTGGGAATTCTTGGGAGATTCGTGATGAAAGTGCTGGTGGGCCTTGTAATAACATTAATGTTTCAGGGTGCAGGCAGGAGAAATAACTCCATATGAAAGCTATCAACTTTGCTCTCTTTGTTCATGTGAAAAATTTGACATGGACAAATCAGTGCTGTTTTTCAAGTATTTTTCTGCATTCAAGGGTGTGACCCTTTGTTTTCCTCCTTAGAAGGAATACTTAAAGCATGTGTGCTGTAACAAGAAAGCCAAACTTTTTGTTCATCAGAGGAAGAGGAAAGCTTGCTTATTGTTGAAGAATGTGAATGAACACTCATCTGATAATTGCCCGTGCAAATATTTACATGACTGTGCTGTGGAAATCTCTAGTAATGACATAGCAAGTATAATAAGGAAGATGCTCAGTGTTCCGTATCAAAACCCAAAAATAGTGAATTTTAATTTAGCTCAGAATTATTTTGAAGATTATTTTGATTATTCTCAGAAGAAAGGCAGCACCTTAACATCTTTTTAGGGAAAATTAATATTAAATTTGTATTTAGTGCTTCATTCAGGCAGTGTTTACAACCTATATGCGTTATGGAGGATTGGCAGTAGCTTGGAACAAGAAGCTAAGTCCTTTCACTCCTTTAAAGTAAACGTTGCTAAGGGTGGTAGAGTCAGAATAGCCTTGTGCAGAAAGAATCCTGTGCTAACACCTGTTAACACATTTGTCAGAAGAATCTTGTGCTCACACCTGTTACGCACAGGTTTCTCCACAGGAAAAAACTTCTGTATTTATCACCTCAGACATTACTGGTTTTAAGCATTATAATATAAAGATGCATAATATCGCAAATGTTTTGGCTGTTTCATTAAATATTACACCGTATTTCAATCTGCCATGCAGATACTAATTTATTCTTAGCAAAAATTACCAGGCGAAGATTCAAGGTTGGAAAACTTCTCATTAATTACCAAAGGCTGTGGATCAGGCCTATTGTTTCTTTTTCTAAATTGGAGATGAAGCAACCAATAGAGTCATTATCTTCAGAAAAGGCATAATGCTCTTCAAAAGCTCTGAAAGAACAACTAGCTTAATTGTCGTGGTTCAGTAATTTACTTGAAAGGAGATGGAAGAGATTTAAGTCAGAATATCTCAGGTTCCATAGTGTCATTTTCCAAATGAATTAAGCATTGCTGTCAGGTTAGTTATTCTGGAAATAAAAATCTTTCATCTTTAAATGTCTGACAAAGTAGTGACAGTGGATGGTTTCCTGATTCTACTTCATTTGCATATTGAGCTAGTTTCAGTGTAGAGGGGCTTCTGGAAATGTGACTTGCTCACTTTCCAGTCTGTTCTTTCTGCCAAACTTGTGAGCACAGGTTCCAATTGTGAAGCTGGAAGGGTAGTATTCACATTTATGAAAAGTTTTAACGGAGTCCCTCAGCTCCTTTCATAGGGGCATTTTTAGAGCATAACAGACCACCTTGTCTGTTAATTGCACAGAAATTCCTTATCGAGATGTAACAGATGGGAAAGATACATGGAAGTTGTAGGGGAAACAAAAGCGTGCTTTTTTTTTTTCTCTCTCCCCTGCCCTCTAAGGTAATGAAACTTTTAATTTAAGCAGTCCCCTGGATGCCTGGCTTTTCCTCTTAGGATTCCAGAGAAGTGTTGGCAGACAGCCCTGATCTCTAGTTGTTTTTGTAATTGTAATTGTTCACTGCTGTTCACTGATTGCTGTTGCTATTCGTTACCATTTAGAGCAGGATTCTCAGGACTTTTTCTTTGAGCTTTCATGACCAGCGTTTACTTACACCTGAAGTAATTCAACCGTAATCTCTCCCCGCTTTTTGTGGGGGAGGGAGTTGTGTGAGGAATACAGACAGCTGCACTGAATTGGAAAGAAGTACAATTAGCATAAGAGAACATCTGAGGAATAGACTATGTTCTAATGAAAATAAGTCATAATATCAGTTTCACCTGGTATTATGTCTGACAAGCAGTTGGACCTAAGTTAAGACAACGCAGAACATGAAGGGTCAGATTCATCTGGGTGCTGTTTTTATCCCTGTGCTGCATTATAGTTAGCTGAACTGTAGCATAACCCTGTGGAACTGATGTAACTGAAAGGAGACAGGAATGGGGAGAGGCAGAACTTCTCAAGTTCATTTTATCTGCACAAAAGGAAAACTGACAGTTAATGCTGATTATCGTCTGTCCTTTGACATCAATAGAGCAATGACAATTTTTATTGATCCAGATCTGCCCTGAGGGTCACGTTCTACCCAACAGCACATAAAAATGAAGTGGGGTAAGGACATGTTTTATATCTAAATGATGATTAGCTAACTGTAGAAATAATTATCCTGCAGATTGAATCTACAGTGATGCCATACCTACAAGTTCTTTCTGAATTCAGAGAAGGAGTACGACAAATTGCCAGAGAGAAGAAAGGTGAGAGTTCATTTTTTCACATGTCGTTGCACATGACACTCCGTGGTCACAGGAATCAAACCGGGCAGGGTGATCCAGCTGATACAGTCTCTCTTTGCTTAGAGAATAAAAGTAAGGCATCTTTAAATGAGAGCTCATTTGAATACTTGCATCTCTGCTACCTGTCTCTTTAATTTGGGATTCTTTTACAGGCTGCAAAACTTATTTTCTTTTAATTTCTGAAAGAATCTAAAAGTTCTGGAATGATGAGGACTAGCTGTTTTTTCTCTAGATTAGGGCACTCCCTGCTTTCTAGGTATGAAAGTACCCACGATGTCTTCCCCTAGGAGCTTGTGTTCTGTTAAAACTGTAGATTGCTGCAGAATGATACTGTCTGTGTTTAAGTAGCCTGAGATGTTCTTATTTGTTAGCATAGTTGTTATTGTAGCTCCCCTGATGGTAATTAAGTGCTCTCTTTGAGAATTAATTTGGAAGTTTGCTAGAAGTTGTTTTAGGTGCTTTTTATTTTTTTCCCCCTCTGAAAATCTTTCATCATGCTGTGTGTGTGTGCAGCCGAACTACACAGTGTTAAAAAGATTGTTCCATTAAGCCCTCTTTAATTTCACTTGTTGATTAGTTCCTAATGGAGCTCTTACTGGTTTCTGCTGTTCCTTGTGGAATTTTACATGTCTTCAATATGTATTTGATTCTTGTTTTCTTAAAAGTTTTTTACACTTAGATTTGTACTTGAAGGCAAAATAGGGCATTTTTTTTTTATATAAAACATACATAAATAACCCATATATTATACAGAACCTGAATCCTAATTCTGCTACTGTTCTGAGTTCCTCTAAGGGCTAATAAGTTTACCTTAAAAGCACAAAACTGTATTTGTTAATGTGACTATTACTTTCAAACCCCTATAGGCCTAATTGATGCTGAGAAATAGGCTTATTAGTTCCAAAAGCAATTATTTTCTGTAATTTGAATTAATTCAAGAAGTTTGTGTGTATATGCTTAGCCAAAAATGTGACCTGTGTTCTTTCGGTATTTAACGTAAATACTCATTTTATATGAGGCTTTTTTTGCCCTTGCTTTCTGATGGTTGAGCTAAACAGATCCTCACTCCTAACAGTGGTAAGGTTTAAATATCATGGAGCTTCTTGTAGATCATTTTTAGAACACATTTAGCACTAGACTGCTTACTAGCACTTGCGTTTCTTACCGGGAAGGTATTGATTTTTTTTTTCTTGAAATAAATTGGGCAGTGAGAATAAAGCTGGATCTAGTTGCTACTTGGTTGGGGTACAGAGAGTGGTTATAGCACTCTGCAGTTTGACCAGGGAGGCACCTTTCATTGAAATATTCGATACATGGAAGCTGAGTGGTGGTTGGCAGGACCTGCATTGACATGCAACTGTTTTTTTTTCCCTATAACCATTAAATTCTTGCTTGCAGGAAGTGTTAAAATTACTGTAAAAGTTGTTCTGATTAATGGCTGGGGATATTGCCTCTACATGGTTGTAAGTGAAGGGAGTTTCCCCATCACAGCCCGATGCTGGCAGCATGCTGTTCAATATTAATTGACATGATCTGTTTTGCTTTAAGTATTCTTAGAGGTTAAATAAAAAGTATGCTGCAGAGTAATACGAATGTCCCTATACATATACATACAACTCTTAAAAATGTATCTGTATTTACAAAACATTTCACAGAATAGGCATTTGTAAAACTATGTTTTTCAGTAAGAATCAAAATGTATATACTCTACAAAAATTTTACCATCATCCAGAATGGCTAACATTCAAGCATATTAATAACATTAATTCTTTATTTTATAAGCTTATTAGTATGCAAACTGGAGACCTGCCCTGATCATTTGCAGTTGAGCGTTGACTTAATTTGTGAACATACTTAGCAATGATGGTAAACAGGAAAACACTGTGCTTGTTGTACAAGGGAAAGAAACACAGAAAACCTCTGCAAAAGACATCAATGATTGGTTGGTCAGAACGTCTCTATATTGTGCATCCTGACATTTCACTTGAGTACTCAACCACCTGCAAAGACCCTGCATAGTTGTCTCTGCAAGGATGCACAGTGGAGCAGATCTGTGCTCTAGGGAAGCCCCTGATGCTTGGGGAAAATCCTCGTTAGCAATGAGTTGTTATTCAGATGTTCAATCAGGAGCAAGTCTCTTCAGCTGTTGTTGGTTACTTAACTCGGGACATTTGCTTAAATTGACTACCCTCTGGTAAAGGTGTCCATGATTGAACTGCGCCTGCATCTTCGTTTCCTGCCATGGGTGCTGGTGCCATGTGGTATTTTGCTCTAAGCTGCTTCTAGGACACTGGGAAACCCTCTGCCCTCTTCCTAATACATCATGACTTGACCAGAATTGGGCAAACTTGATCATTGTAACCATGCCTGCTCTTGTCTTTTGCTGCCAGTCTTAACATCCAGCATTCTCAAGATGCTTTTTAAGCTCCTCCTTTTCCTCCCCATGACATTGTTCCCATTCACAACAGTACATCATCTATTTCACATTGGAGACTCTTTGGCCTGAAATTCACAGAAAATGTGGAAAGAGGTCTGGGAAATAGTCACAGGCTGAAGGAGTGCCTAGCTGCCAGGGTGTTCATGAGCACTGGTGATAAGGCACTATCCCACTGGTTTCCTAGTCACTGTCGTCAATGAGAGAAATAGCTTATGTCTTGAGGCAGCCCATAAACAACCCCCTACCCAATCCCTAAACATCTTTGCTCTGGAGGTACCACATGCAAAGGACAGGCACGTTTCAGTCCTAAGCAACACAGTGCTGACTCCTCTGGATGACAGAGGATTGATCCAAAGACATGTCCTTTCATAAATAATACATGTTTTGTTATACATTTCTTCTTATTCTCTACCTTGATGAATTTCTTCTTCTTAAACTTTCAATTATTCATTATTTCAGATAAGTAAATATTTATAACTGAGCAGACACTCTTTTATTGAGTAAGCAGTAGGTGTGTCTGATACATGCTTGATATGAAACATGTAATTCTTTTGCCTAGGTTAGAGTCAACACCTTTTAGTGTTGACAGCCAGTGAGGTAATCTTATCCCTTGTTTATCTTAATGGCTTATTTAGAGTTGCAGCAAACATGAATGTGGTTCACTGTGTGTAACTGCTCTGGATCAAGGAAAATAACGACTTAGTTCACGGCAGACAAAAGAGCTACTATAAACTGCAATGCTTTCCTGTACAAAGAGAGAGTCACAGAATACTAGCATGCAATGAAATAGGGTGGCTGTTCCTTTTTATGGTATTAGGATAGTTGGTGCTCTGTTCACTGTTCAGCTCTCTGAGGATCTGGGAATTATGGAAGAAATGAAGGCTCAGGAATGGTACTTTCATCTACTGATATGTGCAGCATATAGTACAGCGTCTGGATAGTAGCTTCTCCTGCCAGAATTACTACCTTTGAGACCTCAATTCTTTCTTAGGTTTAACCAGCTGAGAGCTGCTGAAAGGGAGAACACTTGTTTATTATAAGCACGTGATACCATAGAATGGTTAAGGTTGGAAGGGACCTCAAAGATCATCTAGTTCCACCCACCCTGCCAGGGGCAGGGACACCCTCCACTACACCAGGTTGCTCAAAGCCTCATCCAACCTGGCTTTGAACACTTCCAGGGATCAGGCAGCCACAAGTTCTCCGGGCAACCTGTTCCAGTGCCTCACCATCTAACCCAAGTATCTATCTTGTCACACTTGGTAAGCCTTTCGTCCCAAATCATAGAATCATAGAATTGTTTAGGTTAGAAAAGACCTTTAAGATCATTGAGTCCAACCATTAACCTAACACTGCCAAGCCCACCACTAAACCATGTCCCTAAGTATCACATCTACATGTCTTTTATATACTTCCAGGGGTGGTGACTTAGCCACTTCCCTGGGCAGCCTGTTCCAGTGCTTGACAACCCTTTTGGTGAAGACATTTTTCCTAATAATCTAAACCTCCCCTGGTGCAACTTGAGGCCATTTCCTCTTGTACTATCACTTCCTACTTGGGAGAAGAGACCGACATCCACATCGCTACAACCTCCTTTCAGGTAGTTGTAGAGAGCAATAAGGTCTCCCGTGAGCCTCCCTTTCTCCAGACTGAACAACTGCATTTCTCTCAGCCATTTCTGGTAAGACTTGTGCTCCAGACCCTTCACCAGCTTTGTTGCCCTTCTTTTGACACACTCCAGCACCTCAATGTTGTTCGTATAGTGAGAGGCCCAAAACTGAACACAGCATTTGAGGTACAGCCTCATCAGTGCCAAGTACAGGGGGATAATCACTTCTCCAGTCCTGCTGGCCACACTATCTCTGATAGAAGCCAGGATGCTATTGGCCTTCTTGGCCATCTGGGCACACTGCTGGCTCATATTCAACTGGCTGTCAGCCAACACCCCCAGGTCCTTTTCCGTGGTGCAGCTTTCCAACCACTCTTCTCCAAGCCCCAAGTGTTGCATGGGGTTGTTGTGACCCAAGTGCAGGACCCAGCACTGAGCCTGTTGAACCTTATCTGGTGGCCTCGGTCCATTGATCAAGTCTTCAGTCCATTGATCAAGTCTGTCCAGATCTCTCTGTGGAGCCTTCCTACCTTCCAGCAGATGAACACTCCTGCCCAACTTGGTGTCATCTGCAAACTCACTGAGGGTGCACTCGATCCCCTTGTACAGACCATTGATAAAGATATTAAACAGAACTGGCCCCAGTACCAAGCCCTGGGGAACACCACTTGTGACCGGTGTCAACTGGATTTAACTCCACTGCAACTCTTTGGGCCCAGCCATCCAGCTGTACGCCCATCCAAGCCATGAGGGGCCAGTTTCTCCGGGAGAATGCTGTGGGAAATGGTGTCTGAAGCTTTACTAAAGTCCAGGTAGAAAACATCCACAGCCTTTCCCTCATCCCTTAAGCAGTTACCTTGTCATAGAAGGAGACCGAGTTAGTCAAGCAGGACCTGCCTTTCATAAACCCATGCTGACTGGGCCTGATTGCCTAGTAATACAAGGCAAGACTGTCTATAACATACAAGACTGTCTATGAAAAATGACACTGAATTAAGTTCACAACAGCAACGTGCTGGGTCTTCTTGATGCATTTAGTTCCTCTTAACTGTTCTGCTGATACAATTTCTCATCCAAGTAAATACCATCTTGAAGATTTATTTTCCTCTTGAGTTCTTAACCATTTGCTGTCAGCAAGGGCTCTTTGATAAGTTTGCTAGAAAAAAAAAATTACATTAGTCATGATGTCCTGATCACCATCCGGAAAGCCAAATCAAAATACTCTGTGCTGCTGCAACTAGCTTGCTTGAAAAAAAAAAACAGCTTGGTCAGACTAGGTAGTAAAGATAACTGTCTGTAGAAACAGAAAATGTTTGGATTACAGTTGCTCTGACAAATGTATGTGTAGTTATCAAACCAACAAAATCATAGTCCTTTAAAGGCAGTATAGATGTCACACAGGATATGTTAATTTGTGATTTTTCTAAAATAGAGTTCTTCACCCTTCTTATTGAAAATCCTGCAGCACCCATTACGATCTTCCTGAGTCATACACCCTTCCACTATACCCTGGCAGAATTATTGCATCGTTTATGAATTGCCTTGGATTTTCTTTCTGTTACCCTTCAGGAACAATGAGGGTATCTTGGAAGAAATCTATGAATTTCCAGTCCTTACAAAGAAACATGCTTCTTCTCTGTGCGGCTGAAAGAAAGCAGAACTTACTTTAAAGGTTTATCACTTTAAAACAAAAGACATTTCTCTGGCCTCTGTGAGAGAGTGGCAATTTCTTAATTGCATTTAAATAGCTATTTAGCAGGACAGAAGTATACTTTCACCAAATCTTACTTCGCTAAAAGGATTTTTCATGTTCTGT